TAGTTTGTGAAAAAAAAAAAAAAACACTGTCACTCATAGTAGCTAGGTTAGGGGGACTGTTTGGTTATTTGGGAGCCCAGTGGGACAATATTCATGTTTTGATTGATACTCAGACAATTACGGAATAACCTTGGGTTTTGTCTTGATCTGTCCTGGCCACAGGATAGGCTTGACTTACCTTGATAGTCAATAAAATTGCTTCTGAGCTGCAGGTGAACATCAGACCAGCTCCCAGATATGATAACTCTTTTCCTTCTTGTCAGAGAATTCTGTTATTGCTCCAGCAGAGTCTAGCCTGAAATTTCTAACCACAAAGATTAACAGAGATAAGAAAGAATAATCAGAAAGGAACATCCAACAATATTTCATCATTTGTGTTTGAAATTTGCCCATCTCAGGGAAAAAGAGTAAGCTTGAGGAGGGCTGGTAGAAAATCTATGCAAATTAAAAGCCTCTTTCCCTGTCTCACTCAGAGGGGTGTATACAACTTGAGACAGAGCACATTTGTGTACTAGTATAAGTTCCCACAAGAATGTGCTGGCGCTCTGGATGTCTTAAAAGCACAGGATGTTATTGGCTCCACATGTTCTTCCTCCAACCCAATGATCTCAAGATCACCTAAATAATGAGAATCCTAGTCCTACTCCCCGAGTATAGTCAACTGTAGATTGGTAGCGAAATGGAAATGGAGAGTGGAACCACCCACAGGAACAAAGGGGGAGGGACCTAGGGCTAGGCAGGCCTACTATGGAAGCCTGAGTACTTAAGGAAGTGTTACTATTAGCCAAACAGCACTTCATCTGAGAAAGCAAACCTGGACAGTTAGAAACAACCCCCCTAGACTTCTCAGGTGGCAGGGTCGCCTGCTGCTCAGGGTGTCTCACTTTTACCATTTGACTTCTTTTAGATCTGTACCATATCATCACAGTTCAAGATGGTCAAGTCCCACCATAAAACAAGCATTCTTCTTTTTATGGGGCCAATGGGACATATTTTTCTGAGGAATTTTTCCCTCTCCCCCAGCTTGGGGATGATGAAGAATAGTAATATGTTTACGTTCACTCACCTTTATGCTTACCTGATTGTATTGCCCAGTGGTGAAGTGTTACCTGGAGTCATTTTGTCTGGAGTTATTACTGTACTTTGCTGCTAATTTGATATGTAAGCTTCGCTAATTGGTTGATATTTCTAAGCCAAATCCACTTGATTCTTAATCAGGATAGTAATAGGACTTCCCGTATTGGCTTATGGTGAGATCAAACTGGATACTGCCTGTGTCATTTAATAATATTCAGTAATTGTGAGTGCAGTTTTCACAGGGAAGAACAAGTTCCTCCATCTGTGCAGTCTGTGCTAACCATCAGGTATAATCCCTTCTCACTGCAATTTTCCCCAGCAGGCAGAGGGGTGTCTCAGGTCATGTCTGTGCAGCTGCTAAGGTTCCATTTTGAGCTTTAGACCAACGCAAAGTAGATATTTCTACTTGAGACTTGAGGGTTCAAGCTAAAGAACCCTGGACATATCCAAGCACAGAGCCTCTAATGCCTCTTTAAGCAGCTGGCATCCTTCCCATTCCTAATAGGGGCAGAGCTCAGGGGGTGAAGAGATTTTAGAGGGGAGGCTACTTTCTCTCAGCTCTCTTCTGTATTACAAATGGGGATTCTAACAGATTAAATGAGCCTCTAAATACAAATATTTTCTGCAAGACACTAGCATTCACCCGACTTTGAAAAGAAGAAATAGAAACATAACTGAATGCTGAAATGAATGTTTAGAGAGCAGCTTACAGGGAGCAGCATGACTTTGAAAACCTCATGCATAAAATTATTGCTTAGTAACAGTGTCAGGGAAACAGAACCAGTGTCTGTTATCATGTGGTTACTATGAAATTGGCAATGGTCCTGGTTATCTGGGATTCTTGGTCAGCTGACTAGGTACTTAGAATCTTGCACAGCGTGTCTTTGGCATAAACAGACTCATGAACCACACAGATCAGAACAACATTCAGAAGGCAAAACAACTAACAGAGTACACAGTGTGCGTGTGTGTGTGCGTGCATGTGTGTTTGTGTGTGTGTGTGTGTGCTTGTGCGTGAGCGTGGGTATGCTTTTAAGAAGGACAGAATAGTGAAAACGAAGAGGGAAACTTTATTTTTAAGGGACAGAACTATTTGTAAAAATAAAATTTAAGCATTGAGCCACAGGTTGACTCTTATTTGAACTTGATTGCACTATAGCTCCAGGTTGCTTCATATTACTGTAAAAACTTAAGTCTGGAGCTGTACAACTCTGGCTACAAATAAGAAAATTCCTTGGAGATATTAAAAAAAAATACTGGTACCTGAGACCATCTCCAGTTTAGTGAATCAGAATCTTTGGACATAAGATTAGGGCATCAGTATTATCCATAATTTAGGGAAAAACAAGTGTTTTGTTGTGTTTTTGTTATTTGTTTGGGATTTGTGTGTATGAATG